AAATCAGTTAAATAACGAACAATTCGGTGTCTATTTACTTGTGACCACACAGTGTACATCGCAAGCACCATTATAATATGATTTGACGATATAATATTGCTCTATGCCACATCGTAGGTACATGAATTTTTTCCCCTGGTCTACACGAAGAAAGGTTTTTCTGGGAACTTCTGTTTGTTTCTTTGTAATTAAGCACAAAGCTACGCAATGGGCTATTTGTGCTCTGCCCACCGTGGGTATTGTAACCCGGATTCTAGCGTTGTAAGTCCGCAGACATACCGCTGTGCCACTGGGGGGGGGGCTTCTGGAAAGTTATCTTGAGTATGGTTAGCCTACGTACAGTGATAGACGTGGAGTAGAAATACGGTCAAATGGTTGGGCATAAAGAGAGCATAAAAAGCGCTAATTGCAGCAGTGTGTGTAGTTACCACTAACATCAAAAAGTTAACTTATAAAGTGCCACCATCCTACCACCCTATTCCACTCACAACTTGATGTAATTAAACGATGTAACCTAATCAAGTTAATCACAGGATTGTAATTCTAATAAAGACATGAGATTTTAGTGGGCTGTGCACTCACTGGGTTGTCTTTGTGAGAGTTTGGTTGACAGTAACTCATAAAAATCGACAGTCATCGTAGGAGATGATTCTTCCTTTGAATTCTAGTTCGTCCTGGATATTATGGCTGACCCAATGATGATAATTACTCGCACCACGAGGAATTGTGTAATAATAATGTGGTTTGTTTGTTTGTAATTAAGCACAAAGGTGCACAATTGGCTATCTGTGCTCTGGTTACCCCGGGTATCGAAACCCGGATTCTAGCGTTGTAAGGCCGCAGACATACCGCTGTGCCACTGGGAGGCTAATAATGTGTCATAAATTTTTAAATTGCACACTAACTTAGGTAGAGATAAACAGTTAACGTAAACTCCCTCCTTCGAAACATTTTAAAATCAAATACGGTTTATTTTTAACATACCTTGAATGTAGAAATTAAAAGTTATTTTGTTGAGAAACTAGATGTTTCTTTTTAGAAAGAAATAATTTCAAAACTTAAAGCCCAATTTCTGTCTGTTCTAGCATATTGTTTAAGATAAGAAGGAACTGCTGTTTCTAAAAACAATGTTGTTGTTTTTGGGGGGGATTCTTTTGTAGTTAAGCACAAAGCTACACAATGTGTTATCTTTGCTCTGCCCACCACGCTATAATGTGACGGTCAATCCCACTATTCGTTGGTAAAAGAGTAGCCCAAAAGTTGGCGTTGGTTAGTGATTACTAGCTGCCCTCCCTCTAGTCTTTCACTGCTAAATTAGAGACAACTAGTGCAAATAGCCCTCGTGTTGCTTTGCGCGAAATTCAAAACAAAACAAACTTCCCAAATAATTGTTATAAAAAGCGGTTAACAAAAATGGTCGCCCACAGTACTGT